AAGATACATTTTATTGATCTTCCATTGAACATTTACAGAGGTCATTTTATCTAAACGCATCTACAGTAATCTCTGGCCATAGTCTACGATGAGTCATCTTTCACAACATAATAAACAAATTATTTCTTTATCTGTATCAAAATGTATTTGATCTCAGTCCATTTAATTGAATACTAAAATGTTCTATTTAGTGTCACGTAAGTCAGGTGTCAGTAAAAATTAATATCAAATAAGATATGAGTCACAAAGATGGAAGAGATACCAGATCATTGAGATATCAGATTGGGTAAAAAAGCTGACACCGACAACACCAACTAAGAAGACAATACAATCCAGACGCAAATGACAGACAGAGAAGGCATGATATATATAGCTGGGTTAATGATGAACAGGTGTTACCGATTAAACCAGGATTAGTGAGCAGGGGACTATGGGAAATGGAGTTTAACACAAACAACGAAAACAGAAGAGCGCCCTCAAGTGACCAGTCCAGGTCACCACAACAAACACTGTGACAACCTTATCGTAAAGTGTTAGCAATAAAATATAGCACCAATTAATAAAACAGCAACCTTTGGACATAAATGACATTATACTGGATTAGAAAAAGATTGTATTTTGCTTTAAGAAACAGTGATCTTATTGTTACGTCATATGGAGAGATTATCAAACAGCCAAAACAAATATGACACGATACATGAGGTGACTGCTTAATCTCACCCATTTATCTTAGTTATGAGGGCTTATCATCAAGGCTTTTGTGCAACCTTATAGATAATGTGTTTGTTGTGTGTATACTGACCCATCGTAGCCAGCACTCCACACGCCGCCCACACACACAGACATGGACCCACTGCTCCAGTACCCTCCAGAACTGCTTTGGGAGAAATGAAGATCCCCGAGCCGATCATTGTTCCCACTATCAGACAGATGCCACTTAAGAGACCCACCTGAGACATTCAAGTTAAAGGGTGTTGGTTTCATTGATAGCGCTGTGAGAGCGGTGGAACTAACGGTTTCCCCGGTAACGGCTGTAATCAAAGCAGCTCCGCTCATGAATGCTACTTTATCAGATCAAATGAAAATGCCATTGAAACTTTTCTGAAGACAGTCTGTTCCCTTCAGAGATACATTCATATAAAACACCCGCGCCAAGTTTTGATTTGGAAACGTGCAGTGCTCATGTTTATTCAACGAAGTCAAACACCACAAATAAATAAATGTATGGGAAACACTGGTAATGTATATTATCGAAATATCGGAAATGTGTTTAAAAATCATATCACCGTTATTGAAAAGATACATATTGATATTGAATTATTGTCCAGCCCTATAATGTATAGTAACTGAATTATTGTGATATTAAAATTAGGGATGCATGACATATCGATACCACATACGATTTTTATTGTGAGATTTTTTTACTTTAGTGATATTTGTTGGATATATCATTTTAAATGTTAAAGGGGTCATATGATGCGATTAAAATTTTTCCTTTCTCTTTGGAGTGTTACAAGCTCTTGGTGCATAAAGAAGATCTGTAAAGTTGCAAAGACTAAAGTCTCAAATCCAAAGAGATATTCTTTATAAAAGTTAAGAGTCAGCCACACCTACCTAAAACGGCTCGTTCTAACACACCCCACATGTCTACGTCACGATGTGGGAAGATTTGCATGACGCCGCCCAAATGTTCACACAAAGAAAGAAGGTGCAACTTTTATTCTCGCTGTAGTATTGTTGACAGCCTTGTCGTGAAGGCGCTGTGTGCTTCGTTGTGAAAGCGAAGCTACTTTGTTTGGTCTTCCAAACGAGGACGATATCCGCTTCGTCATGCCTAGAGCTGATCCGTGCTGGTCGCTGAGGAAATACAACAACTTCGCTGTGGATCACCAGATCGGCTTTCACCGTGGATGAAGCGGAGTCCAGCCTGGGGTCGTCACATGTGGTTGCCACAAGCCC